TCGTATTTTTCTTCCAAAATCCGCCTGTAGGGGGACACGCCCGACTTAGATCTAGACCTCTCGGGGTCGACGTCATATGCAGTTGTGAATACCGCTATTATGAATATCATCTTTGCCCGCGCTCACTATGGGGCCACGAACCGTGTGAGGGGCGTGCCGAAATGCGTGGCGGGGCACAACGCGAGCGAAGACGATAGGTCTGTGTGCGAGAGACTGAGCGCGAGTGAGTCTGATTGTGAATGAGTCTGCGTGCGAATCAGTCTACGTGCATCAACGTCGACGCACAGATCGGCACGCTCGCGGGCGCGGCGCCGCACGGAATCCCCGCGACGCACGTTGGTCGCCCCGAATGGGTCCCGGCGACGCGCACGGGTCGTCCGGTGCGCAACCGTGGGCCGGCCCGGCAAAAAAGAACAGGAAACGAGGAAGAGGGAAAGGAGGAGGAAAGGGAGGGGACTCTATCTCCCGTTCGCCTGTGGGGCCGCGAGCATGACGGCGGCGGCGGCGGCGCCAACGGCGGCGACGGCGGCATCGGCGGTGGCGACAGCGGCCACGGCAGTCCTCCTCCTCCTCCTCCTCCTCCTCCTCCTCCTCCTCCTCCTTCTCTTCGTCCTCCTCCTCGGTCCTCCTCTTCCTCCTCCTCTTCCTCCCTACCTATAGGGCCACGAAGCGTGTGAGGGGTGTGCCAAAATAGGGCGGCGCCGCCATGCGGGCTGCGCCACTGGGACCTCAGATGGAGCTCCCTATGGGCCACGACACGTGTGATGGGTGTGCCAAAATGGGGCGGCGCCGCCATGCGGGCTCTGCCACTGGGACCTTAGGTGGAGCCCCCTTATGGGGCCACGAAGCGTGTGAAGGGTATGCCAAAATGGAGCGACGCCGCCATGCGGGCTGCACCAGTGGGACCTTTTCATGGAGCTCCTTCAGGGGCCACGAAGCGTGTGAGGGGTGTGTCAAAATAGGGCGGCGCCGCCATGCGGGCTGCGCCACTGGGACCTTAGGTGGAGCTCCCCCAGGGGCCACGAAACGTGTGAAGGATGTGCCATGATGGAGCGGCGCCGCCATGCGGGCTGCGCCACCGGGGCCTTCGATGGAGCTCCCTATGGGGCCACGAAGCGTGTGAGGGGTGTACCACAATTCGGCGGCGCCGTCATGCGGGCTGCGCCATTGGGACCTTAGGTGGAGCTCCCCCAGGGACCACGAAACGTGTGAAGGATGTGCCATAATGGAGCGGCGCCGCCATGCGGGCTGCGCCACCGGGACCTTCGATGGAGCTCCCTATGGGGCCACGAAGCGTGTGAAGGGTGTACCACAATTCGGCGGCGCCGTCATGCGGGCTGCGCCATTGGGACCTTAGGTGGAGCTCCCTATGGGGCCACGAAGCGTGTGAGGGGTGTACCACAATTCGGCGGCGCCGTCATGCGGGCTGCGCCACTGGGACCTTAGGTGAAACCCCCTTTTATGGGGCCACGAAACGTGTGAGGGGTGTGCCAAAACAGAGACATGTGGAGGGCAAAGGCAAGGAGGGGGAGGAGGGAGGAGGAGGAGGAGGAGGAGGCGGAGCAGGAGGAGGAGGAGGAGGAAGGAGGAAGGAGGAGAACGCGGGGCACCGTCTCTTCAAAACGAGGACCCAACACCACAGGATGGTTAAGACAAAAACATGACGTCGAGGGTCTGGGGATGCTGTCGCGCGGCAGGTTCGTGTCGTGTCGACGGGGGGCGACCCCGCCGCCGGCGTCCCGCGTCGCAGGTTGCCGGCGACCAGAATCGGTCGATGCTGAGCTCGGGGGCCCCCAAACGGGGTGGTGACCACACCGTGTGGTGAGTCGGTGGGAATTCGGTGTCACAACACGGTTTTGGGACTCGCGTCCCTCTCCGAGGATGTCTTGGGCGACAGGGGCCTCCAGGGTCCCAAGACCGTGCGGTGACGGACCGTGCGGTGAGGTCTTGGCGGATTCTGAGGTCACCGCACGGTCTGTCACCGCACCGTTTCGGGACTCCAAATGAGCGATCTGACGTTTCGGAGAGGCTGATCGTTGAAGGTTCTACGCTCCCTGCGGCGTCAGGAACCAACCGCGAAGTCGGCACGACCCGAACCCGCCGCACACCATTGATTTTTAGTGTGCTCCATGGTGCGCACATGTTTTCACGTGGTTGTGGCTTGTGTCTGCGTTGCGTGTGGTGAAGGTTTCTGGCGAGGCGCTTCTAGTGGTTTTCAGGCGCGGTGTTGTCCGTTTGCTGCGACTCGTCGAGAACGCTCCCCCGGTGCTGGAATGTCCCCGACGGCCGCCTGCCCTCCCAGGCCGACGAGAGCTCGCCTCCCCGTTGGTCCTGGTCAGCGCAGGGGTCATTTCCATTAATTACTCAGGGGGCTCAGGCGTGATGCATGTGGGCTGACCCAGATCTATAGTAGTTAGCGCGTCCTCGATCGAGTACCTGCAGGCCCCCTCGCGCCCTGGATGAGGCCCTCGGCCAGGTCCTGGGGCCGTGGCACCCCGGGGGGGGGCGCATTCGGATGGAAAGCCGGTTCCAGAGAGGAGGGGTGGGGGAACTAATGTCTTCGGGGGTCCGGCCATGTCATCTTCGAGGATAGAGGATTGTGTGTGCTTGTCGTTACTTTTCGTCCGTTTCGGGCCTCGCCGGGGTTCCTCGCAGTAACGTTTGGATTCCTTGTCGAAGTTCTGCCCAGCACGCGCCCAAGAACAGGACCCGGGGAGGTCAGGATCAGGGTGGGCTGACTTTGCGGGACGGCACAGATCGAAGAGGATCCGGGAGGATCGAGGACCCACGATTGTGGCCGTTTGGATTCCTTTCCAGCCTCTGGGGATGTCCAAAGGCATCTGAAGCCCCCCGTGGGCGGAACCGAGGTCATCCTCGACCCCCCCCCCAGCCATTCCCCAGCTGGCAAGGAACGGCTCATGCACAGTTGGTCCTGGCCGCATCCCGCTCCGTGGCCACGGCCTGCCCAGAGCGCGCCCTGGGACGAGGAGTAGGAGGAGAGAGGGTGAGGAGGAGAGGGTGAGGAGGAGAGGGTGAGGAGGAGGAGGAGGAGGAGGAGGAGGAGGCGGAGGAGGAGGAGGAGAAGGAGGAGGAGGAGAGGTCCAAGAGGGGCTGATATGGCGGGACGCTCCCCTCAGCTCTTTCTCGATCGGCAGCGCCAGCGGTCACGGGCGCGGGGGGGGACGGGTCCGGCTGGGTGCGCCGAGCGCGGAGTGCGCGGAGAAGGTGAGAAAGCCGGGAGCCGCCGCGGGGAAAGCAAACAGGACGGGGCCCGGTCGCCGAGAGAGTCGGCGGGCGAGGGGCGTGTGCGGGCGGCCTCGGGCACCGCGGGCGACCTGCGGCAGGTGCAGGAGCGGCGTGTGGACCCTGCCGCCCCCCCCCCTCGCAGATGCAGGCAGTGCAGGAGACGTCGCGGCCGCCGGTGTCTCCTCGTGGCGTGCACGCGGCATAATTATGGAGGCCGCTCCACGGCACCCGGGCAGGCACACCAAAGAGCGACTCGGAAGGACGAGCCGGTGGGCCCCGCCGGGGAGAGGCCGAGCTGTCCGGGGGCCCACGCCGCGAGCAAGAGGTGTGCGCCGTCGAGGGAGGCGGCGCACGGCGGCTCGCCGCCCGCTGCAGGAGCGCCCCGAGCCGCCGGTTGGATCGATGCGAATCGGTTCTCGCCTCTCTCCGTTTTTTTTTTCCCCCCTCCGGTTCCTCCTCCCTCGTCGACCTCCTCCTCCCTCGACCTCCTCCTCCTCCTCCTCTCCTCCTCCCTCCTCCTCCTCCTCTCCTCCTCCCTCCTCCTCCTCCTCCTCCTCCTCCTCCTCCTCCTCCTCCTCCTCCTCCTCCTCCTCCTCCTCCTCCTCCTCCCTCCTCCCTCCTCCTCCTCCTCCTCCTCCCTCCTCCTCCTCCTCCTCCTCCTCCTCCTCTCCTCCTCTCCTCCTCCTCCTCCTCCTCCTCCTCCTCCTCCTCCCTCCTCCTCCTCCTCCCCCTCCTCTGTGTCATCTGTGTCCTCCTGTGGCACCAGGATGCGCTGGACGATCGAAAAAGTGCTGCCGGCATGGGGCTCGGATTGCCCCCCCCTTCTCAGCGAACAAACCGTGTGTCTGTGCGGCCCGCACTGCGCATGTCTCGACAATAATTGGGAGAGGGAGTAGGGTGAGGGTGAGGATGAGGTCGTAGAGCTTCCGAGGTGGTCTCAAGAAGCCCCCAACATTGCACTCGAGGCAGCCTCGGCAGCACCAGGGACTCCAAATATACCATTGAAGTGTACCGTAAGCCGCCTAGGGGGCCCTACGGAGTCGTTCAAGATCGAACGACGATTGTACAGCCGACGCCGCTGTTAAGTTCGGGCCGAAAGGCGGAGCCGCAATGAATCACGCGCGACTCAGATAACACTTTTTTTTCACAGGCACCTCGCACAACGGTTCATTTACACGCGTGCGTGAGGGTCTCATGGTTTGTTCCTTTTGTACAGGTGCGTCGCACAACGGTGCATTCACATGCGTGCGTGAGGGTCTCATTGTTTGTCCGTGCATTTTCTTTTTCATGTGAACATGTGCAGAGACAGGACGCGGGTAGCATATTTGCACTAAGCCAGGCCTGTCTCTCTACAGGAGGAGTATCCAACAAAAATAGTCAAAACATAGTCAGGGGACGATTTTTGGACTATGTCTTTGTCTTTCTGTCCGAACAGCAGCCTGTAGGGGGACATGCCCGACCCAATATTTGCATGCCCACGGCCCTGCTCGGACATGCGCAGAGGCAGTGGGCCCCTTTTCAGGTATAGCCAGGACACCCGGTAAGGGGACCCGGTTAGTGGTAGGGCCCTGGGGCCCCTCAATTGGCCAGATTTACTAAACCAGGTTTGCCGTAGTTGGTGTTTTTCGGGTGACGGCAGTTCCGGTTAGTGGAAATGGGACGGGGGGGCGCCCCCGGCACAAATCACTAAGCCAGGTTCCACTAAACCCAGCTCTGCCAACGCCCCACCTTTATGCCGGCATAATCCGCCGTCTGCTCAGGCCCTTGGGCCCGCGGGGCGGCGCGCCTCCCCGGCCTGCCATGCCGCTCGGCTTCGGCGCCCTGCTGTCGCCGGCAGGAGGTGGCCACTGGCACAGAAGTCCGCTCCGAGCCATGGGGGGCTGGAGGGTTTCTCCGAAGGGCTGACGCGACCCGTCCTTCTCCTCCTCCTCCTCCTCCTCCTCCATCTTCTCCTCCATCTTCTCCTCCATCTTCTCCTCCATCTTCTCCTCCTCCTCCTCCTCCTCCTCCTCCTCCTCCTCCTCCTCCTCATCCTGCTCCAACCTGCTCCTCCAACGTCCTCCTCCTCCTCCTCCTCCTCCTCCTCCTCCTCCTCCTCCTCCTCCTCTCCCTCCTCGGGTCGCCTACGGCCCCGGGGGAAGCCGTGCAGTGGGGGCCCCGTACCCCCCGCCTTCATTGCCACGCCAGAGTTCTCGAGGGGCAGCTCTTCAGGGTCGCAGCCTGCTGCGGGGCCAGTGTGGGGCCTTCGGGGCACCTTGGGGCCCGGGTCCGAAACGGCTGCGTGAGGGTGGTAGGAAGACGACGACGCCGGTGGTGATGGGACGGGGAAGTACACGTAGCGCATATGAACGACGGAAGAAGCGGAGTCGTCTCCACCGACTTTGGCGCGCAAGCTGCCCGCGTAAAGTCTCGCGTCAGCGCCCACCTTCTTCTGTGTTACGTGCCGCGCTGACGGCGAAGGTCGCTATGTCTTCTCCCGCTCGCGCGAGACCCGCTTTTGCTTCGTCGTGCATGCGCATCGCACTACGAAGCCTTCTTCAGCCCGCGAGCAGTTTCTGCGCTCAGGGCCACGTGCCCACCCCTCAGTAAAGCCATACCTGTATCGAAGACGCCTGCGGCGAATCACCGCCGCAGCCTGCCTTCCAGGAAATGACGATGTGGCGAAAGCTTGGCCCAGCGTTTTGATTATGTGTTCCCCAGACGTTGCGGAAATCCTTGGGAAACACTTTGGGAAGAGCAAGGAGGATTGTCAAGGCTGTCTCTCAGGACGCGGCTAAGAGGAGGACGAGGAACAGGAGGAGGGGAAATTAGTTGGGAACTCTTTGGCTATACTGCAAGCTCGCACGCTAGAACAGAGTTGGCCAATCTACGCGCACAAGCATGGAGAGGTCTTTGTTCACACCATGCTGAAATCGGCACCTCCTTTACGGTCTGACCGCAACGACTACCGGCCAACCACCAACCTGCCACCTAGAGGCGCGCCTGCTCGCCGAAAGCTGAGTGCCGGACAGATGGGACCGATGCCCCTCGCACGTACCGCCTCGCGCTGTACCGTATCTGTGAGGCGTATCCGAACATGAAAGAAACGAAGGGAGGCTCGCTGGCCCCGCCGACAAGGGCAGGAATACGCAACACAATGGACGTAGCGACACGTCTGCGTTTAGACGCGCACGCTCGAGATCGCACCTTCCCCCGGGCCCTCGAAGACCCAGCGGGGGTTCGGATCCAGTGGTGCCTGACACGCGAGTCACACGTGCTGCGCCCAGTCACTCGTGCAGCGCGCGCGTGCCATGTTCTGCCCTACCTGTCTCCACAGCCTCACGATTCATCCGAATTCTCCTCCGACGTCGAGTACGAACTGCTCGAGGACGGCTCTGGAGAAGGCTTCACCTTCGGGTTTGTCGGCCCCTCGCCCTGTATCAGCGTGGCCCAGAACTCCTGGAGCACACGGAAGCGCTCGTCGATCTTGGGGGTACGCCAGTAGGAGACAGTGCCGACCTCGCCCTTGGTGCCGTTGGATGCTGAAGACCTCATTGGAGAAGTGCGCCGAGGGAGACGGCTTGTGCCGCAGTGTTCCTTGCCTTTGCTCTTTGAGATGGCCCCCCTGATCTTTGCCTTCTGCGTCACCTCCCACACTCCCGACGGGTAGGTGGACTCGTTCAGGTTGCACCCGACACGCTCTACCTTCATGTCGCCTCTGTCGTAGACATGCTCGGTCTTGTCATTCACGCTGCTGGGCGCGTCGGGTACGTCGAGTTGTCTTGCCGCTGGCTCATCCCAGCGGTCTTTACCTCCAGCCGGACCGCCCTGCACAGCCTCCCGGTACTCTGTGACCTCCCTCGCCTTGCCGCTGCTGCGCCTCTTGACCGCGCGCCACGGAGCCCTTGCCAGGCCCGGGCGCCGGCCAGCATCCTGCTTCTCAGCGGTGGCCGGGACCGCAGCACCCCCCGCTCCCCTGGACTGCTGCTGCATGCAGGTGTCCATGCCTCCTTCCCCCCTCGGCGCTGCGCGGGGCGCGGGAGGGGGCTCCGTCGGCTCCTCGGCGTCGCGAGGCGAGTCCGGGCCCTTGCGCTGCCTTGCGCGGCGCCCCCGAGTCTAGGGCAACGAGCAATGACATAGAAGCATAAGAACTCGGAGGTCCGCGCGGATCCCTCGGAGCGGCAGCCCCCTGGCGGCGCCTCCAGGGCCGCCTCTGGCGCGCAGCCGCGCGCCAAGGATCGGGGGCTCCCTTGCCGATCCGAGAACTCCGTCCGCGCGGGCCTCCGAGCTTTCCTGTTTCTTCGCGGGCCTACAGGTTGGCACCAACGCCGATATCGGCAGTGTGCCTCCACCGAGGGGCGAAGATCCCGACCTCGGTGATGGTGGCGATGCTATGGCTTCCGAGGGGACCGAAATATCACCGATATCTAGGATACTTTTCCCCCTGTGGAGGCAACCCCTGTGTTGGTGTTGGTGCCCACTTCCAGGCCTCCAATTTACGCGAGTGTTTGTTTTCCCAGATGCGCGCTGCGGAGTCCAGCCCGGGCTGGTCTTCCAGGCGGTCCTCCAAGGCGGCAGCACGGCGCCGCGGCCAGGCACCTGGCGCGCCCTGGCGTCGGCGGCCTCGGTCGCAGAGCGCAGCCGCGCACTTCCGTGGACTGGCGGCGCCGGAGCCGTCGCCCGTGCCCTGGCTCCTGAGACCATCGCCCGTTTCAAGGCGGGTCTCAGAACAAACAGGCCTCGCGCGCGCGGAGCCTGAAAGAAAATGGGCTCAAGAGGAGGAGGAGGAGGAGGAGGAGGAGGAGGAGAAGGAGGAGGAGGAGGAGGAGGAGGCGGAGGAGGAGGAGGAGGAGGAGAGAGCGGAGGTCCCTTGGGAGCCTCTTGGGGACATCTTGGAGCCCTCTTGGCGCGTCTTCGGGCCCTCTTTGGGCTTTGGGGCCGTCCTGGGGCCGCCTGGCGGGCCTCTGGAGACGTCGTGGGGCCATATGGGAGGCCTCTGGGGCCGCCTTTGGCTGTCGGAGACCCGAGAAGGCGAGAGCGCGAACATTGTCGAAGCAAGGAACGGGAAGTCAGTGAGTTGGGCCTCCTGGAGGTCCTCTTGGAGCCCGCTTGGGACCTCTTGGGGGCCTCGCAGGCCGTCTAGAGGGTATCTTGGGCCATCTTGGAATCATCTCGGGCCGTCTCGGTGGTATCTTGGGTCATCTTAGCCGTCTTGGAGGCGTCTTGGTGCCACCTTGGGGCTTGGGCGTCTTGAGCGGAGGAAGATGGTTTGTGATTCTTCTGGGCAGCCAGCACCTGAGCCGAGACCCCATTTGGAGCCTCTGGCAAAGTTTGAAACGGGTGAACCTCGGCACGCCAGCAACCGTTCTTGCAAGCGACATGGGAGTTGGGGATCGAAGGTGCCTACGGCGAATCACCGCCGCCCCCTTCCGTTTGGAAGCGCCCATGCGGCAAGGCGTTGTGCCGACCATTGGCGACGCTATTGCAGCATGTGCTCCCCCAGCGGTTGCGGAACTTTTGAGGGGAACGCTTTGGAGAGAAAGGGGGAGGAGAGGGAGGAGAAGGAGGACGAAGAGGAGGAGCAGGAGGGAGAAGAAAAGCTTGAGGCCCTCTTGGGCGTTCCTGAGGGCTTCCTGGGAGCCTCTTGAGGGCCTCTGAGGGGCTCTTAGGGGCCTCCCAGGGTGTATTGGGATCCTCTTGGAGCTTCTTGGGCGCCTCTTGGGTCTTCTGGGGGCCTGTAGAGGGCATCTTGACCTTCTGAGGGCGCCTTCTGGCCCTCTCTGGGCAGTCGTGGGCCATTGTTTGGGCACTTTAGGGCCGTCCTGGAGGTTTATAGGCCGTCTTTTGGACCTCTTGGGCCGCCTTGGGGCCCTTTTGGGCTGTGCTGCGGCCCTCTTGGGAGCCATATTTTGCCGTCTTGGGTCGATCTTGCGTGCTTGTGGGACCGTCTTGGAGCGTCGGATGCCCGAAATGGACATCAATGATTCTGGCGGCCTGGCGGTCCTCTTGGAGCCCTCTTAGGGTGTCGTGGAGGCATCCTGGAGCCAGCTAGGGCTCTTTTGGAGCCATCTTGGTCGTCTTGGAGGCCTCTTTGCACCGTCTTTGAAGCCAAATAAGCCGTCGTGGACGCCATCTCGGTCTCCCTTGGGCGTCTCAGGGGCGATCTTGTGTGGTCGGCGCGATCGGCCGAGACCCCACCGGGAACTCGTGTCAAGGACCACAACCACCGAACAGTTGGCACGCCTTGCACCCCTCGTGGCAAGCCAGTGCGGCGAGTCGAAGGCGAGTGCGGCGAATCACCGCCGCCCCTGCCTTGAACAACATCCATGTGGCGAGCATCGCGGCCAGAGCTCGGCCAAGCTATCGGACGAAGTGTTCCTCTATCCGTTGTGGAAACACTTCGGGGAACTCTTGTGGGAGAAAGATGAAGAGGAGCAGATCCCTGACCTGCCAGAGTGCTAAAACCTAGCACTCCAGACCTATAGACCTATCTGGACTGCCTCAAACCTCGACAGGAATTAGGACGTCGACGCCCTGGTGCTATTTTTTCGCCCTCCTGGAAGGTCAGGGAGGGAGGTTCCTTGACCGCCTTCAGACCTTCCTGGACCGTCTTGCGATCCTCTTGGGCCGTCTTGGCCGGTCCCGGCTTTGTGGACACGTGCAGAAGGCAGAGTCCCAGCGCGACTTTGGCACAGCTGGCCGCCGAGCTGTGGAATGCAGCCGGGGCACAGGATCGATGCGCATGATTCCCTTGGCGAACGGCAGGAGGGCGCGCGCCGCACGCACCGATCCTGGGCCCAGAATGGACCCCTTCAGGGCACATGCATGTTTAAGTCGGTCCTGTCCCTCCACAGGAGGATTTTTCAAAACATATTCAAAAAATATAGTAGGGACGATTTCTTGATCACTTCTTGACCATTCGGGAGCATGTTTGGTGTATGTTCCCCTACCTAGGCTCTGCCTAGAAGGGTTCTTACTCGGTTAGCTTGAAGGGCCGGGCAGTGCACAGCGCCCCGGGCGGTTCCCCCAGTCCCCTGGGACCCAAGCGAAAGCAACAGCAAAGGTAAAAGCAAACGCGCGGTTCCCCCAGTTGCGCTCCCTGGGTGCCAAGCAAAAGCAAAAGCAAAGGCAAAAGTGAAGGCAAAAGCGAAGGCAAAGCAAAAGCATATCATAGCATAGCATAGCATAGCATAGCATAGCGAAGCATAGCATAGCGCAGCATAGCATAGCATAGCCTAGCCTAGCCTAGCCTAGCCTAGCCTAGCCTAGCCTAGCCTAGCCTAGCCTATCCCAGCATAGCATTGCGCAGCATAGCAGAGCAGAGCAGAGCAGAGCAGAGCAGAGCAGAGCATAGCGCAGCACAGCATCCACTATTGCTGCTGCTTTATATATATATATATATGTACTTATATGTGTGTGTGCGCACACAGAGGCTCCAACTCCTAGGTAGGGTCGCACTGGGATAATTCCATGTTTCTCGTCCAGAATTCCGCCTGTAGGGGGACATGCCCGACCTAAGTGTATGTTCATAGTTCTGCTGCTTCGCCTGCGCTCCACAGCTCAGCGCTCGGCTGTGCCCAGCTCTCACCGGCACTCTCTGTGTGGCGCGCGTGTTCACAACGGTGACTTCGTGGTCTCGGCACTGCTCCCGCTTGGCCTCTTCTCCGCTGGCCGTAGCCATCCGGCGCGTCGGAGGCACACGTACGTGCAGAGTTCTCTTCCCCCTGCCCCCTTTACATCCACCGGCACGTTTCCGGGGGCGGCGCGAACCCCCTGGAGATCTCGACCCCCCGCAAGCTGATTGGCTCTTCACCCCGAGTAACTCGTATAGCCGTTTGGCGGTCACGAGGGGTCGAGCGGCCCCCTGGGCCGAAAACGTTGAAAGACCGGCCGCGTCCTGACAGGAGGAGGAGGGGGAGGAGAAGAGAGGAGGAGGGAGGAGGTGGAGGAGGAGGTGCAGGCGGAGGAGGAGGAGGAGGAGGAGGAGGAGGAGGAGGAGGAGGAGGAGGAGGAGGAGGAGGAGGAGGAGGAGGAGGAGGAGGAGGAGGAGGGAGGAGGAGGAGGAGGAGGAGGAGGAGGAGGAGGAGGAGGAGGGAGGAGGAGGAGGAGGAGGAGGAGGAGGAGGAGGAGGGAGGAGGAGGAGGAGGAGGAGGAGGAGGAGGAGGGAGGAGGAGGAGGAGGAGGAGGAGGTCCGCTTCACCCCTTCCCCGCAGGCGAGGCCGGGGCCGAGGCCGCGGCCGCGGCGGCGGGCCCGGCCTCGCCATGGGACCGGGAGGCCGACCGCGTGGCCCTGCAGGCCCTCGTAGCGGACCGGGGCAACCGGCTGCTGCAGGGCCAGATGAGCTCGGACGGCGTCGTTGACATCTGGAAGGTCCTGTGGCTCGGTATCGTTTGGCCGATCCCCATCCCCATCCCCATCCCCTTCGAGACCCCCGCCACATTACCACCGCAGTTGGGGATACCCCCCTCGAAACCCGAAGGGAACGCCTGTATCCCCATCTAGGGGGGTAAATCGGCCAGTGGGGCCCAGGCCACGCCGCTGGGGATGGGGATCGGTGAAACGATACTCAGTGGCCTGGTGTGTCCGAAGACGGCGTTGCCGGGAGGAGGCCGACGGGTCCCTGGCGTGTCGTGGAAATCCAAAGACGGCATGTGTTTGGCTGCTTTCGGCGCCTAGGGGTCCTTTCTGGGCCCTGGGACCGTAAGAACATATTCCAGGATGGAAAGCTGATTCTCGGGTTGCCGTCGAGATCCCCGGGGGTACATGTCGCGAACAAATCGCAACGTTTGGGGTCTGGGGGGCGGATCGGGGGACACGGAGGATTCTGGAGGATGGTGAGGCAAAGCAGGAGGAGAGGCAGGAGGCAGGAAAGGATGGTGTGAGGATGTCGAGGGGATGCGCGAGAACGGGCAGGCGGCAGGGTGGGGAGAGGGGCAGGAGGAGACGGCGTCGTTGGCACTTGGAGGAACCTCGTTCTCATCCTCTGGGCCCTTCGGGGGACTCCTCGTCGCCACGGCTAGACGCGATTCGGGATTCGGGTTCAGGGTAGTGCCCGAGATAGCTTTGGGGACTGAGACGATGCGGAGGACGAGGGAGGATGACAGGCTGCAGAGAGAAGACGAGGGCTAGGGAGGAGGAAGAACTGCAGGGAGCAGAGAGAGGAGGAGGTGAAAAGGAGGAGAGAGGACGAGGTGGAAAGGAGGAGGAGGAGGAGGAGGTGGAAAGGATGAGGAGGAAAAGGAGGGGGAGGAAGAGGATGATGATGATGATGATGATGATGAGGAGGAGGAGGAGGAGGAGGAGGAGGAGGAGGAGGAGGAGGAGGAGGAGGAGGAGGGAGGGGGGGGGGCGGACGGAAGAGGGAGAGGCGAGGTGCGAGGTTCGAGCTGGAGGCTCCCCCCCCCCTCTCCCCCCCCTCTCACCACCATCCTGCTGTTCTTCATGCTCCCGCGAGCCCGGCGGCTCCCTAATTAGACGGGCCGCCCACGCGCACCCCCGCCGCGCAGACCGGCGCAGAGGTGCCGCTGCCCCAGGGCAAGCTCCTGCCGAGGGACTACGTCGACGCCTGCGGGCGCTTCAACATGCGGCCCGTCTGCGGAGGCCGCCGGGGCCCGACCCCCACGGCAGTCACGCGGAGGTGCGGTCTGGGTGCCGTGGCTCGCCTCCCGCCCCTCCCCTTCCTGTCTCCTCCTCCTCGTCCTCCTTCCGCCGCATCCTCCTCCTCCTCCTCCTCCTCCTCCTCCTCCTCCTCCTCCTCCTCCTCCACCTCCCATCATGCTCCTCCTTCTCTCCTCCTCCTCGTCCCTCATCTAGTTATTCCTCCCTTCTCATGCTCCTCCTCCTCCTGCTGCTCCTCCTCCTCCTACCCTCCTCTCTCTTCCTCCTTCCTTCCTCCTCCTCCTCCCTGGGTGTTCGGATGTTGCCTCACTGCATTGGAACGACGAAGAGATACAAAAAAGGTGGCAGGGCGAAATTGGAGGTTCTCGTGTACACGGCACTGAGGCCAGTGGGGGTACCGACGAAACAACGTCTGTCCCGACAGGGCGAGACCCGAGGTCTGAGCGTGCTTCTGCAGGCCCTTGCCGTCGGGGCTGAGCGCGGCGCGAACACAGCGCGGAAAACAGGATGCATCCGTGGACGGGGTCGGAGGACCGCCTCTTGGGCGGAGATTCGTTCGGGGCCCGGGCGACGGGGGGCATCCTCAGACCCGGGCGCCGCGCGCAGCTCGCCACGCCCGGCCTTTGTGCCCATGTTCTCGACGGTCAATTGAGGGCCGCCTCCTCGCCCCCGGACTGCCACGAGCCGGCTCGGGAGGAGGGGCCGGCCCGGGGGCAGGGGGTCGAGGGAGGAGGAGGTGCGGAGGAGGAGGACCGCCCCTCGCGCAGCTCGCCACGGCCGGTCCATGCGCCCCTGTGCTCGGCGGCTGAGGGCCGCCTCCTCGCCCCCCGGACTGTCACCAGCCGGCTCGGGAGGAGGGGCCGGCCCCGGGACAGGGGGTCGAGGAGAGGGAGGAGGAGGTGAGGAGGAGGTGAGGTGAGGAGGAGGTGAGGAGGAGGAGGTGAGGAGGAGGAGGAGGAGGAGGAGGGGCCGGCCCCCTTGGCAGGGGGTCGCGAGCTCTCCAGGGGCTCTCGGGAGGCCGGGCCCCGCCCCCCCCTCGCGCGCTGTGCCCGAGGCCGCGCGCTGCCACGAAGAGGGAGAAGTCGGGCAGGCCCAGGAGGAGGAATACTCGCCAAGAGAGCGTGCCGCACGCTCTCTGAGCGTTCCTCCTCCTGCTCCTTCTCCTCCTCCTCATCCTGCTGGCCCACCCCGCCTCGGGCCGTTCTGCCTGCGCGGGGTGCCGAGACCAGGGGCGCCCACTCACGGGCGGGAGCACGCGGGTTTAAAACTCCTCCTCCTCATCCTCCTCCTCCTCCTTCTCCTCCGGCCTCTCGTGTGTGTTCTTTTGTTTTGTTGGCCTCGGGCCTTGACTCGTAGGGCCTGTCTCATGTCTCTGGCCTGCTTCCTCGTCGTTTCACGGCTTGTTGTACTCCAGTGCGCATGCCCCGTCGCTTTTGCAGTTGAACAGCCGTCATGCGATCATCTATATCGCGCTGTAGCGCAGCTTCGCTTTCGTATACTACAGATCATGAGGTCGAGGTGGTTGGCTGCCTTGCGATGGGACAAATTGAGCTTTCCGGAGCCACTCCGGAAATGCCGCTGCGCACTATACATGTTCCGACTTGTTGGTGTTCAGAGATTCCCGATCTATCTTGATTCGTTTTTGTCTTTGTTTTGCCTTTGTCTTGAGGAGGGAAAGTTAGGGACGGGAAGCGCAGCGCGCTCGATTGGTGCCCGAGTTGTGTGTACACGGAATTTGTTTCTTTGGTCGTCGTCGTCGTCGTCGTCGTCGTCGTCGTCGTCGTCGTCTGGTCCGCGGAGGCGGCCAGAAATGCCAGTACGCGGACCAGCACTGCACTGTGCTGTCGTCCATGAAGAAACTCTGCGGTGTGCCCATGCGCTCGATCGCCGAGAGGATGGGCCTGGACGATTCCGACGACCCGGCTCTGACAGGCACTCAGGGGCGCTCCCTTGCCCTTCCCCATCGCCCTTGTCCTTCTCTTCGTCCTCTTCCTTCTTGCATTCACTATGTTGATCGTCCTGGCCCGCCCACCCCCTCTCCTCCCCCACCTCCTTGCGGGCAAGATTTTTATCCATATCCACTGCGCCTTCGATTTTTTTGGAAGGGGCGCCACAAGGCCGAGGTGCACTGGACATGGATAAAAATCGAGCCTCTAGGGGGCAAATTTATCCATGTCCAGTGTGCCTCGGGTTTCTGGGGAAAGGAGCCCGGAACTGCATACTGCAGTGGATATGGACATAAGTAGTGCTCGCACTCCTCCCTCCTCCGTCCTATACCTCCCCCTTTTCACCCCCTCGCTCTCCATGCTCTGAGGGGCTCTGCCCTGCACCGCCGGCCCCCCCCCCCCCGGAAAGAAAAGTGTTCGGGAGCCCCTCCGCGGGCATGGCGGCCGGCGAAGCGTTTCGGCGCTCGGGGCCCTCCTTGGTATGCCTACAGCATTGGAGCCAACAGACCTAGAGCTAGGGCGCTGGGAACAGATTTCGGAGCCTGCTTCGGGGAACCCCATCCGCGGGCATGGCAGCGGAGCGTTTTGGCGCTTGCGGTCCTCTTTGGTATGCCTACAGCACTGGAGCCAACAGACCTAGAACTGGGGCGCTGGGAACAGATCTCGGAGCCGCTGCGGGGAACCCCTCCGCGGGCATGGCAGCGGAGCGTTTTGGCGCTTTTGGGGTCCTCCCTGGCATGTCCACCACACAGTGTTGTAGACACTCGCGATCCGTCTGGCCCCTATAGGCCGCCAGGCATAGCAGAAAACCGAACCCCCGACACAGACTGAATCCATAGTTTCTCTGATGCTGGAGCCAACCGACCTAGAACTGGGACGCTATAGGAACAGATCTCGGAGCCGCTGCGGGGAGCAGGAGCACGCCTCCGCCCCGCGCAGCCTGTCGGCCCCCCCAAGGCGCCGGCGGGGTCGTCCTCCTGCCACCATCTCCCCTCCGTCCTTCGTGCTCTCTCCCTCTGCCTCCCCCCCCGCCTCCTCGCTCCTCCTGCCTCGCCCGTTGTCTCCTCCCTCCGCTGTCCTCCGTCCATCCTCCTCCCACCTCGGTCCGCCCTGGGCCCTGCCTGCTGCCTCTTCCCTGTTTTCCTCACCTCTATGTGATGTATTCCCTGGCGCTCCCTCTTTTGTGCCTGCCCTCTCCTCCCTCCTTTCCTCTCCCCCCTTCATCCCTCCATTCTGCAGCCTCCGTCCTGGCTTGATTTCTCTCGCCTCTCCGTGCCACTCCGCCTCACCCCCTAATTCATGAGGAGGAGGAGGAGGAGGAGGAGGAGGAGGAGGATAATGATAAGAAGACGAGGAGGAGGAGGAGCGTTGGACGAGGATGAAGTGATGATACATGAGAGATGAGTGGGAGGAGAGAAAGGAGTAACGCAAACACTAGGATGATGAATAGGGTTCGCCGTTGTTTCAGCCGCCGCACTGGCACCAGTAGTGGTGTAGCAGTCGAGCGTGTAGTTCTGGTCATGCCCAGCAACAACCGCCATGCAATACTAAATAGTAGTCATGTCGGAGAGGAAGAATTCATTGTTCTAGGTAGTATTGGCGATTGATATTGTGGTGGTACTGGCCGTGGTAGTGCTATTTTGAGTGCAGTGGCAGTCGCCGCTGCATCACCTAGTAATGCCAGTAGTGTTTGTTAGAGGAGGAAGAGGAGGAGGAGGAGGAGGAGGAGGAGGAGGAGGTGGAGGAGGAGGAAGAGGAGGAGGAGGAGGAGACCGACAAAGAGCAGGCGAAGGAGCATAGGGCGGATGATGAACAGCGGAAGGGAAAGAGAGGGAAAGAGTCCGTGGCAGACCCCTCGGCCCCAGGCGTGTGCACCTACATGTCGGCGCGGCCCCGCGCCACTGACTCAGAAGACCAGGGTCGCCGTGGCCGACCGGGCTCGCATCGATCGTCACGGTCCCGAGGGTCTGGGTGCTGCGTCCCTTCGCAGGGGATGTCCTCTCGGGGCGGAGCTCGTCCTGTTGGAGACACTCGATTTCTCAGACAGCTTCTCCCGCCTCCGAGAGACAGGTCTGGGACTGGGACGGGAAGGAGGAGCCGCCAGGTGTGTTTGTGTCACGCGCCGCGGGGTCTCTGGAGGCGATACGCGCGTCAAGCTTGCCAGGTAATCGAACGAGATGGCGGGATCGCCCCCGAGCCAGAGGAAAGAGGAGCGGCACCCACAACAACAGCCACTATGGTACGACGTGCGTTCGCTTGTTCTTCCGCACGCATGCCACTCTAGCCCCTCGGTTCTCGCCCTCCCTTCCTCTAGGAACGCCCCCCCCCTTCGGGGACCTCCCCTTCCCCGCCCAGCCCGTGGGCGCTCGCGGCCGGCGCAGGCGGGGCGAGGTGGGTGCAGGTGCCGGTCGAGCAACGGGCAGCAGGGCGCGCCGGAAGTGAGTTGGGGCACGGCAGCTGGGCGTCGCGTACCGGGGGGGGCGACGCGTGGGGGGGCAGCGATGGCCGCAGAGAAGCGGCCCCTGAAGGGCCCAGGGCCCAGAAGGAAGCCTTTGGGGCCCGACGAGTGTACCTCTCTGCCCACACCGCCCTGCATGGCCCCCCCCCCCAGTAAGCAACGCCCGGGGCGGGACGCGGGGAGAGAGGAGGAAGGAGAGAGCGGGGGGCCGCGCAGAGCGTGAGCACGGGGCAAGACGGGCGGGTCGTGCGGTCGGGCTCTAGGGGCGGAGGTACACCCTACAGCGGGCGGGGGTCGGGCGGGGGGGCGGGGGCCGTAGTGACGGGCGAGACGGGCGGGCGCGGGACATGTGAGCACGGGCGGCGGGGGCGGTTGCGGGTGCTTCCGACCCGCAACGGTAGCAGGAGAGCGATGGCAGCGTAAACGCGCACTTGCGAGGACATGTACCCACGCAGTGGAGGGTGCCATTGTGCAGAGGATTGTCCAGGGAACGCGGCCACGAAGCACGGGAGCGCACGCGCATGGCATCAGGATGCAGAGTAGTTTTCCGACACCTCCACCTCCGCTGTCTCTTCTCCCTCTCAACAATTCGACGCATCCCAGCCCTCTGGGAGCGCATGGGGCGGGGGGCAACGCCGTGCCATTGAAGGGTTACAATGCAATTGTTCGCTGTCGCAGATGGAATGTGCACCTGTTGTAAATGCAAAGTCTCCCGGTCGCAACCTGTACGTCTGGATTTTGCACGAAGTTTGGCCGTTGCAAATGCAACCTCTCGCCGTTGCATTGCGACGACTGGGTGCTCAGCGCGCAGAGTGCGTTGTTTCTGGGGTCGTGGTTTCCAGGTCCTGCGGTACTGGACTGGCCTCAAGAAGTCGTCGGATGGGAAGAGCACCCCAGATGCAAAAAGCAAGTGGACTGTTTCGAGCCAGGAAGTTCCTGATCACCGTATTGTCAAAGCCAATTGGCGAAGTCGTTGCGGCAGGTGGCTGTGACTCGAGCTCGGTCGAAGCGAGCGTTGATGCAGCAAACGCTTGGCTCGCACAGTTTCGGGGCTGGGTGGTGCGGCGGCCTTGGCTTCTCAAGGCTCGGTCCTCCTCCTGTCGCACCCGATCGCCCGGTTGACGGGGCATCGATTCTGGCGGGGCTCGCGGGGATGGGCCCTTTGAGGTGAGGCGGGTGGGCTATCAAGCCGTCGGGCGGCGAGGCAATGTCTGGCGAAAGAGCGATTGTTGAGTGGCGGCAGCGCGGTCCCTGGGTAAGTTATTCGGGGGCCTTAAGCAAGACCACAATTCTGGAGGCATTCGTGAGCAAAGCCTATGCGAGAGCGCGATGCCTTGGTTAATTGGGGATTTCTGCGGCGTGAGCCCAATTCTTGGGCAAATGCTGGGAAAGTCATATGTGAGAGCGCGGATCTTGAGCAAAGCACAAGGTATCGAAAGGGAGCGCGATTCCTGGGCGCACTGCAAGAAATTCATAGTTACGCGTGAGCTGTTGCCCTGGTAGTCTAGAGCTGGGGGGCACAGTTGGAGCAGGAAGATTTTCCCTGACAGGCACCTTGGTGCGAGATACGAGGGGCGCATATGAAGTCAGAGTCGTAGAGGGAGGGCCAACAACACATTTTTTCCGGATGCGGAGCTCAACAACAGTGGGGCATCACCCTTCATGAAGGCCACGATGCCCCCCTGAGCTGGGGATTGGACATGTCTCGAGAACGATTGTATGCTCCGTGACGATGGCACCCAGAGGTCTCCGGGATCCACAGTGGCCCGAGGAGTGTTCTGGCGGCCGATCAATTCGAGACAGATTGTTCGTCAGACTCGGGCAAGTCTACATGCACAGATGGGGGAGTCTGGCGAGGCCCGGGATGTAGATGCGGAAGCCCATCCTCGCTTGCGGCATGCTCTCGGCTGCAGGAGCGCTGTTTTGCAAGGCGAGACAGGGCGGGATGGACGCTAAAGCCATACAGGTCAGCTCGATCAAAGCAGCCTCCACGCGAACAAAAAAGCAGCCCACCACACGCGCCCAGCATGTCTGCCAGCGAACTTCGACGCTCGGGAACCCGCTACCGCCCGGACGCTGGCGGCGCCGATCCGCCCTGCGACCTTCGGCTCAGAGGCGACGATAGGGGCGAATAGCCCAGGGGAGGGCAAAACATGTACAGTCAGGGCCCTGAAGAAGGAACCCTTTTCGTTAAGTGTTTCACAGATTGCCTCAGGTTGTCCTTATGTTTTCGATCGGAAATCGAAGTTTAACTTATTGGGAAAATGGGGCCTCGTTCCTTATTTAGGGTTCCTTAGGTCAACGCCCCGACTGTATTCAGGTGCGCCGATGATCTACGTCTTCGAAATGGCTCCTGGGCGAATGCGTGTAATGCCCGCCCCTGGGCTATTCGCCCCTGTCGTCGCCGCCGAACCTTCGGCGCGCACGCGAGGGTGTGGAACGAGGGCGCCGGGGCCTTCTGAGAAGGCGCGGAGGAGATTTCTCAGAGGGGAAGGCGGGCTTCCCAGGAAGGCCTCGTCGGGGAGAGGACGGCTTCTGAGGAGCCCCCTTCTCAAGTTACAGCTCCCGCGAGGCTGAATTGAGCATCGCCCCGGGTGCACTCCCTGTCGAAGTCCAGCCGGATCTGGCCAAGCCCTGCTCGATCCCGCTGAAAGCGCAAAATTCGGCCTAAGCCGGCGTAGTCTGGCTCAGCAGTCCCTCCGGGTCGGGCTGAATAGTTTTGAGTCCGTCTTGATGCCATCCCGCGACGGCCTCCCAGGAATTGCCTAAGCCGGCGCAATCTGGCTCAGCAGTCCCCCCGGGTCGGGCTGAATAGTTTTGAGTCCGTCTTGACTCCATCCCGCGAGGGCCTCCCAGGAATTGCCTCCTGACCTCGCCGCCTCTGGAGGCCAGCTCCCTCCAGGGCCCATTTCCATCCGATCGTCGCTCTGGTTCGATATCGACTTTGGCCAGTTTGATCCGATCCGATGTTGCTCGATGTTGCTCGATGTTGTTCGATGTTGCTGTCGTTTTCTTGACGATCCGATGTTGCTCGACGTTTATGGCGCTGTTGTGCTGCAGCCGATCCGGTGCGAGTTCGACGCCCTGCCGCTGCGGCCCGATCCGACGCGCACATCCCAGTTTTGTCCGACGCCCCGCTTCGGTGCTGACCGACCTCTCTCCTTTCCGCCAGGGGCCCCGCGTGGTTCGCGGCCCTGCGGGCCGTCTACGGCCCAGGGCCGCCGGGGGACCACAGGCGCCGCTGCTGCCCGGGCACCGGCCCCGGGGCCCAGGCGGGCGCCGAGCCGCCCCTGGAGGCGGGCGTTTGGGAGTCGAGCGCGCGGGGGGCGGGGTACAAACAAAAAAAACAGGGCCCCTCCCTCCCCCTCCTGCCAGTCCTCGGCCTCGGTGTCCTCGTCGGGCTGCTCTCCGCCGTCGTGCTGCTCCGTCGCATCCGGGCTGGGGGCCGGCCGTGCACGTCGCGCGCGCGCCGCGACGTTTCCAGCGCCGTTCACGGCTCGCGCATGGCGCCGATGTCATCAGGGGGAGGAACAACAACAAGAACAACACCAACACCGACAACCACAACAACATCAACAACAACAACAACAACACCAGCCACAACATCAACACCAGCAACCTCAACGATAACAACAACAATAACAACAACAATAGCAATTACTAGCACGTGGGGACACTCCGTTCTCACCAGTGCCAGGGTTTTCATAGGAGGCGGGCAATACCCCCACTTTGTGGGGGGGCCGGTTCAAGCTCTACCAAATTTCCAAACGACTCTTCGCCACCACCCACACCCAGCTTCCCGCCCTATGACGTTCGGACACTTCACTTCGTGGCATGCGGACGACCGTGGCTACTATTCAGGGCCCCGCGGCCGACGACGACGGCGTGCGCGCGCGAAGAAAAAACGAATGTGTCCCGCATGGTATTATTTGACAGGGATGATGGCCCTGGCAGGTGCGCAACCGTTGTTGGAGAAGTTCGAAAAAGTTGCTCGCAAAAGCCCGTTTGACAGAAATGTTTAAAAAGTGTTGGGTTTCCTACAAATCCGCAAGAGCGCGCGGGATGAAATGTTGACATTTTTTTTTGAAAAACCATTGGTTTTTTGATGTTTTTATGTTAAAATCGCTACGAACACTAAGGTTTTGGAAGGATTTCGTCTTGCGCGCGCGAATGTCCACTTTACCTTATTTTTTGCAAGGGATTCTTGAAGTTTGGTTATGTTAGAACAAGAAATGTCAACTTTAGCCTATTTTTTGCAAGGGAAAGCGGGGGGAACAAAACAACCGGATCCGGACTCCCCCGTTTTGCTTGAGACTTCCTCACGAAAGTGATGAAAATGAGTCTGCGGCCTAGGCGCGGCGAGGGGGCCATGCACCAGGGGCCCCAACAATAATTATTCTTTAGAAGTAATAATGTTGAACAGCCATCAGCATGTAAAG